TGTGTGTGTGTGTGTGTGTGTAGAGAGAGAGAGAGAGAGGTGAATACTCCTCAGCTGCCCCAGTGCACTCAGCACTGCACCGGGAAAGTATGTGTAAATGTTACACTACATTGTTAGTTCAACCAACTACAGTGGAGAGTCTGCAATACTGCGCGTTTAACAACATCCATGTAGAGATGTATTTAGATCTTTTATGGAGAAAACTATAACAATTAAAACAGAAATAATTTCACTTAAAGCCATTTTTAACACCAGGTTTGGTTCATGTTTTCTTTGTTTTCCTGCGTCCTATCGTCACACATTGATGATTGTCTAGACTTGGAACGGCTCATAATGAAGATATGCCCTGTAGAGACTGACTGCAGAGCGCAATCTCCTCGGAAAAACACAGCAAAAAAAGCATTTTATTGATAAGACTGACTGAGCACACACCGCAGAATGATAACGTCCAAACATCGATAAACCTTATTATTATTATTATTATTATTATTATTATTATTATTATTATTGAATAATCTATATTTCCGTTTGTTCGGGCAATCAAATCAGTCTTGTCTCTTAACGAGAATCCATTATTGTCACATTGGATCTTTGTTGAACAGTGCAGCTCTCAAATCTTTTTAAGAACTGCAAAATGATGACTTCATCTGTATCGTTCTGAAACGGATTAAAATATTAATGCCGTCATACAAGTCAGAAATTAAGAAAATCGCCTGAGCTGTTCTACGGGCATGCACCCAAAAACATCAGCACATGCATAAAATAAACAGGCGTTTTGCTCTCACCTACGAAGCGCCGAATCCTCCGTACCAAAGAATGCTGCAGGCTACTGTATGTGACCCACGCAGCATCCGCCACTCCAGGAAGATGACTGAGCGACGCAAACTATGTTTTCGAATACATATGTGAACCCGAACGAAGAGATTTTGTAGCAAAGCACCCCGTACCCCGGCTTTTCGCTCCCCTTCTACTCCAACTGGTGTTTGAAACAACGGCGACAGGCGATACTTCAGCAGTGAAAAGCAGCAGCGCGCAGCTTCCAGAGAGCAGCTGCCCTGTGCAGGTCAGCTGGACAGAAAAGCCTCTGACACCGACTCTGGTGCCCAAACAAGCAGCCTCACCATCTGTTCTGTCATCACAACCATGGGAACGAAAATCCCACCCTACCGGCCGTAAACTGCGATGCGCGGATTATGTTGTGATTGAATCTCAGGCTGAGGAAACAATGACATGTGACTACACTGAGACTATTTAGATGTTTTCTTTTTAGATTATTAGTGTTATTGTTGAGCGCTTAAACATTGTGCGTATTTTCACTCTTCGGGTAAACCTTACTGAAATGTAGTTATCACCAGTGAAAAAAATGTGTGAACGTGTTTGGTAGAAAATCTTTTGTCTGCCACGAGCTCGGAGTTAATAATTCATAATAATTATGAATTGAAATGGACTTTAAAGTGGATCTAGTCACCCCACTTCTTCCCCCATTTCCCTAGCTCTCTCTTCCATGTGCGTGCGCGCGCGCGCGCACACACACACACACAGACTCGGAAGTTTAATGACTAACATTGAATTTCTGGACTTTTACCATCTTTACACACTGGACCTTACCCACTGGTTTGTCAAGACTAACTGGTGGAACATAGAGTCACTGCGGGTATGGATGACCCGGAGAAAAACATGAAGAGAAGCTAGGTTCAGTGATATAATGATAATGTAATTTTTTATTATAATTGAATTGTTAATGATTTTTGGCTGCTGGGTGTGAACTTTTTGGCTTGTGGAGCTTCTGAAGTTTAAGAATCACTCAACTTGAACATTACCAGAACCCTTTGACCAGATCTTCAGCATTAAATTAAACTGTTTGCATCATAGGGATTTTCTTTTATCCACATACAGAAGGTGAGTCCCCACACTGACGTGGAAACAGATTTAGGCATAAGGCAAGTAATACGCAAACTCTTCACACAAACACAGGAGTCCATTTTGGGAATTTAAGAAAGATACATATTTCCTACACAACTGTCACTTCTTTGGATTCATTCTTGCTCCTCCTCCGCCTCCGCCTCCTCCCTCCTTTTCTTGCGGGAGCCGTGAAAATGACACTGTTTCATCACTTTCTGTTTGAGCTGCAAGTCTGGGCACTGCCTGTCAGGTACTTCATCCAAACTACGGCTACGGAGAACAGATGTTATCATCAATGTGTGCAAGAATGTGTGCAAGGATGTCATGTGCAGGTTTTGCTCATTTACAAAAGAATTAAAGAGATAATTGCAGATATATGTATATACATTGTCAGCACAAAGACACTTTTGCCATTTTATTGGTTTTTATCAAAGCTTTTATAGATTCTCCATTCCACATTAGTAGACCAAGTTTGGATTTGCGTACCACTGATGAAATACTGCAGTGTTCAACCATTTCACATGGTTATGATGGACTGTTGATAGAAAGACGCGAACAATTAAAAGAAAATGCAAACAAGTATTTTGTTTCAGCTTTATTTACCCTGTCGATGGATTATGAACTGTTGACCCCAGGAAACAGATGACTCTTCAGATACGTACATTAATTTAATACTGAGCAGATCCCAAAGAAAACCTCAGTGGTAGTGGAAGTTAATATGATGGCGTCCTTCTTGTGACATCCACATAGTATGCATTTTAGGTTATTCTTTTTGTTTTGTTGTTGGAATCTTGAATCTTTTTTGAGGAGAAAGAACCAGTCCATTCACCATTTCGATTTGTCACCCCCTAACCCTTTAAATCAGAGGGTTCTAAACATTCTCCTCAGACCCCCTCACATTGTAGTGGAGCCCTTTTTGAGTTGCATCCATCAACAAAAAAAAGGTTTATGCATTTCACTTTGTTGATGGAAACCCAACAGACTAACTCCTGTTCTGCACAGGATACAATATAATATTGTATATGTCAACATGCTGATGTCAGAAAACTAAAGGGGAGAAAGTGAATCAGGAGATTTTTATTTTTTTTACCACCCTGATCTCGAGAATTAGGCAGCATTAACTAAGAAATTAACCTTATTTTCTTTCACTTCTGTAGGCTAGCAGTCAGTTTTCCTGCAGAAGTAAACATAAAATGAATGAATTCAATTATAGGTCATATTTTAGTCTAAAATCAAATAGAACATGTCAGCAATAATGACTAATTTTGCATAATTTATTTTGGATGCACAGGAAAGAGAGCAGAAAAAGAGAAAAGCGAGCAGGCTGACGAGGAAACAGCTGCATCCTCTGAATCTCAGATGATGTTCTAGTTTGGATTTACATTTTGAATTATTCTGTATTCCGTGCAGGGCGTCTAGGTACAAATGTATAATGTTTTTTTTTTCTTATATTTGCCTATTTGCAGAATCCATCTGGAACTTTTTCTACGTCCTTTGTGATGTATAAAACTCGCTACTGCTCACATTGTGCTACCCCCACTGAGAGCTCAAAGTTGATTCAGCAGTCAGTGCGTGCGCAGGTTGCAACCAGCAAATCATAATTTCCCACCATTAACCTGCAGTGCTTGTGGTGTGGTTGCTCTGGCAACAACTCCCTCCCAGGAATGGCGATGCAGCATATCCACCGGTTTATTAGATCTCCGATCACACAGCTCCCTCCACATGACCATCTGGGAAAAACAGTCGCAAAGAAACATGTGCCCCTTGTTTTACCTTTCACAGGTCTTCTCGTGATTTTGCTGCACTGCACTCTGCTGAAGAGACGATAAGATGTCATTTTTCTTGTCAGTGCTTGTTTGGGGTCATAGATGGGTGGACTATAAAAGGCAGAAATGATCAGATGAATGCTGAAATAAAATGCATGCTGAGAAGTAGATGGAGACACACACAGACATGATAATGCCTCCTTTTTTTATCCAGAAGCTTTTGCTTGAGTTCACCCACGGTTTATTTGGAACACATAAAATAATATTTATTGGAGCACCAGATCCCAAGGGAGTTTTATTTGAAGAGATTTTTTTTTAACTGAGCTTTACTGATGTTATTATTAACAGTCTCGTGCAGTTTTCAGATGGAACCAGAGCAGATGCGGCTTGCCTCTGAACATTTAACACATTTACAGCCTTGATGTGACATTATGCCATAATTACACCATCCTTGGTACCATCACCACCTTCTGCCAAACTGCAGCAAACACTTCTAAGGAACAGCAGATGCCCATTCCACCAACGCTAATAAACGGACACTTACACGTGTGAAGTTGTGAGCACATATACACTCACTAGCCTCTTTATTGGGAACACCTGTTTAGCTGCTCTTTACTACAAATACATTAGCCAATCACTTGGGAGTGAGCCAGTGCATTGAAGCGTGCAGACATGGTCAAGACAACCTGCTGAGGTTGGGGAATGAAAGGTGATTTAATAAGGCTACAGTTCACATGGTCTCACTAAAACTGGAAATAGAAAACTAGAAAAACATTGTCTGGTCTCAATTTCTGCTGCTAAGGTTAAATATCATGAAAGCATGAATTCATTATGCCTTACATGAAAGGTTTTAAGCTGCTGGTGGTGAAATGGTGTAGCAGATTTTTTCATGGCACACTTTGGGCTCCTTAGCACTATATGACTATCACAAACACCACAGCCTACCTCAGTGTTGATGCTGACCACAGTGTGCAATCTTCTGATGGCTGCTTCCACCAGAATAACGCACCATGTGATAAAGCTTTGTTAATCTCATACTGGTTTCTTAAACATGGAGTTCCCTGCACTCAACTTACATCCACAGTCACCATATTTGATTCCAATAGAGCGTGATTGGGATGTGGTGGAATGAGAGATTCTCATCATGGATGAGACCAGAAATTTGGAGCAAAATCTCTGAGGAAAGTTTCCAAAACTTAGATTAGTCTTTGCCAATAAGATTTAAAACAGTTCTAAAAGCAAAACAGGATCCATCCCAATATAATGGCAAGATGTAAGTAATGAAGTGGCCGGTGTGTGTATACATGACAAATACAGACAATTTCCAGAGGTGTGTTTTTATTTCTGTTTAGTTTCTCTGTGACTAAATAACTAGGAAGTTAGATTTTGGTGCAAATGGCGCAGTTGAAATGATTATTATTCACTTCCTTGAATAGTGCTTGGGTCTTGGCCTAGTTGTGAGTTTTGTAATTTTCTAACTTTATAATAATCTAGACTTGGGATGGGCAGAGAAACAGAAACATCTTACAATACTGCATGTTGAAATTCAACAAAAACTAGCACAACTAGCCTCAGAAAATCCCCCCTCAGCTGAATCAGCTCCTTTCAGTATCAACGTAGATTGAACATTTTAAGCTTCACTGCATTTATTGCAGGGTTTTCACATTTTATACCAACAGTGTTCAGGTGCTGTGTTTTCTGTAACTTTCAGCTGGCTCTGTTATATTATACCAAACCATAGACTATAATACTAATGATCATTGTTTTGGGGATATCAGCAATATCACTCCCACAACTACAGCTACAGCCCAGAGTCTTAACTTAACCTAGCTCAACTATCTTTCCAAAAAAATAGCAAATAATTAGCCAGAAAAAAACATAACCAAATCAATCACCCCTACACCTCTTTACCCACAAATTATGACAATTTGTCCATATCACATAGGTTGTTTTTTTTTTTTTAGGGGATTCCCAAAAAGCAGTTGGCACATGCTAATTAGTGAACTTTAAAGGTGCTGACAGGATGGAGCCAGACTGGCTTTAAGGTAAGCTAAATCTCAGATATTACAAGGATATTGTTCTTGTATCTGTATCTTGTGACTGTAATGAGTGAAGTATTTTATTACATTCTTTGAAATTCTCAAGTCACTTAGAGTCCACTCAAATAAACACACAAAAGTACATTCTTATGCACCCGCAGATAAAGGTAAACTGTGCCTACAAACCTGAACTATTTAACAAAAAAATGTGAGTGATAGTTATATGAGAGAGGAGAGTTAATATTTGATAATCTTTAACCATACTGTTAAACATGCTGTTTAGAAATGCAGGGCAGAGTGATACCACTGACTTTGTATGTCCGGCTCCACTGCTGAGACTCAAGGTGAATTTGTGTGAAATGTCTCATCGGAATTGGTCTTAATAGCCACAGAGGTGATGAGGTCCTGACTTCTGTTACACATGTCACTTTGCATTAGTGTCCACATTAGGGCCTTCTACTCTGCAACCA